ATATATATATACATATATATATATATATAAACAAACGCAATAAACCACTACCACGGCCACCAACCCGAGAGCAGAGACTGAGAAACGAAATAAGAAGGAGCAGCATTTGGGTGCGGTAACCCTAAACCCTAACCTAAACCCAAAAGAATAGATATAATTCTCTCTCTCTTTACTTTCTGTTTTCTGCTGAAGGGGTTTATACTACAACAGTACGCTCTCTCATGCGGGATACATACACCCCAGCATCTCGGGTGTACAGGCAGCTCCCGTATCTGAGCCGATGGTTCTTTCAAGCCAGCCCCAAACGGCCGCTGTCTCCGCCTGTTGCATGCAGCGCGCAGCAGCGGGGGCTGCAGCAACGCCAGAGACTCAAACAAAAAAGATTCAGCAGTTACTTTCAACCCGGGCGACTTGGCGCTGCTGCAGCTGCAGCTGCTGCTGCAGCTGCTGCTGCAGCTGCTGCTGCAGCTGCAGGCCCCCGCAGAGTGCAGGAGGCCGAGGAGGCCCCCAAGAAATTCACTGCAGGCTGGATCGAGCCTTTTCTTCTCTGCTCTGCACTCAGCTCCATGCACCAGCTTACATCTTTCTCTCTCCCCGCCAACGGGGTGGTCTCAACATACTATCCGCTTCGCTTTCGTAAAAAAAAATTTCGGGTGTATCCGCAGCTCTCTCGTCTGCTGCTGGAGAAAGAGCAGCAGCGTCATCGAGAGAAACCACCCGCGGAGGATACAGAGGTTCTAGAGGCGCGGGCTAACTCTCGGAGAGGCCGCAGCCTGCAGCTCAGCGGCCATACAAAATATCCCCCACGGGAACCGATCCCCCCGGAACATCCCCGGGCTCTGCTGGGCCCCCCGCAGCCATTGACCACGGCGGCGGGGGCCCCCACCCCACATGATATAAGGGGCCCCGTGTCTTGTATGTGCAGCTGTTTATGTCTTGCAAGTGTGAAGAAGTTTCTACTCTTCTGCGCGCTGGGTTCTACGGAGTATTGATTTATATATAACATATTTTTTTAATCTCTCTAGGCTGCAACGGGCCGCACACGATGGCCCCGAGCTCTCCTCTGGATTCCCTCTTGGGGCGGGGAACCCTCTCCTCTTGGCTTTTTACAGGCGGCTCTCATCTCTCCTACGATGACACTTATCTGGAGATTTGGGTAACTCTCTATTTGCTTCGTTGCGCTACAAACAAAGGCTCAACAAGACGCCCAGCAGCACGCTAATGCAGAGTCGTGCAGGGCCCCTAAGCAGCAGCCTGTGTGTGTGTGTGTGTGTGTGTGTGTGTGTGTGTGCATCTCTGTGTGTGTGTGTGTGTGTGTGTGTCTGTGTGTGTGTGTGTGTGTGTGTGTATCTGTGTGTGTGTGCGGGGGAGCTGGAGAGCCAACAGGCACCGCAGCACCTCCACCGCATGCAGAACCTCTATCCACAGTGCTTGTCTATCGTATCTCCCCCCATCGCTCCGGGGGCTGTTGGCTCTGCGCCCGCCCCGCCGCAGCTGGGCGTGCTCGCGGAGCACCGGCTACGGGGCTGCTGCGGCAGCAGCAGCCCGAGCAGGGCCTCTCTCCCCTGCAGTGTCTCTCTTACTAGCACTGCTCCTGCTGCCGCTACTAAGAATAAGTTTACTCCTACGGCGGCCCCGCTGTGCTCTTCGCTGTCTCTTCCGTGCCTTGCCCCACGCTGCTTTGGCCTCACCCCCCGGCCCCTCCAGCATCCTGGGAGAGCTGGGGCTCTCTCGTTCCCTCGTGGTTTCCTTTATTCTTTCCCTTCACTTGAATCTCCTTTTACCAGTAGAAGGAGACGAAGGCGACGCGGTTGTTGCTGCGGCCGGTGCATGCAAAGGTTCTATAAGTATACTCAGAGACAAAGCATGCAGCAAGAGAAAGCTTCGTTGGGGCTTGCTTGTGTTCCCCCGTCAGAGGCTGACTTGTATCAGCAGCAGCAGCCAGCTGTGCAGCAACCCCACCCCTTACTACCCCCTCCCCGCAGCACACAGGCCGCGAGCTCGGTGCTCATGGAGCCTCAGGAAAGGGGGAGGGGGCCTGGGGCTTTGTAAAGTTTTAGTGTACGGGTTTATCTATCTATGCTGCTGCTTGGTTCTGTAGCTGCTGAGAGGCAGCGAGCAGGCTGTGTATGTGTGCTGCTGTCTCGGGCGGTGCAGTGACGGAGAAAAAAAAAAGAAATAATTTGTCTCTGTTTACAGTAAACTTATAAAAAAAGAACAAGTGAGAAGTTATTAAACATTTAAAACTTTATTCTCCGTTTTTTTTTTTTGTGAGCTTGAGGTGTATAGACACCGCAGCTGCGGCGGGTGCTGCGGTCGTATTAGTATAGTATCGAGAGGTAGAATTGAGTGTGTTTGTGTGTATTTTTTATCTGTATGAGTGTTTTAAAAAGTAAAAAATAATATAATTAATATTTAAATTTAATAAATTAATAAAAAAAAGAAAAAAAACAAACAAAAACACGCACCTGCTGAGCTGTACATACACCCCAAATATCAACACGGCGTCACAGCGAGCGGAGAGCTCTGCCTGGTACGATAGACAGCAGCAGCAGCAGCAGCTTGTTAGGTACCAAAAAGAGGAAAAAAGAACGGTAATTTGAATTAAATTTATTATTTTTGTTATTTTTATCGAATATATTTCATATTTATGGTTCAAACGAGCCCCGAAACACACCAACTGGCCCCCCCCTACCTATACAATATATTTTTTTCTCTCTCTTTCTTTCTTTCTTTCCTTCTATCCTGCTCTATCACCATCACCTTCTCTGCTGTTTTTTGTTTTTTTTTCTTTTTTTATTCTGATTTATAATTCTTTTTTATTTTTCTTTTTTGTTTTTATTTCTTCGATCTCCAT